GAAAAAAAGAATTACAGTATACCTCATCCCCAGAATCCATAAATCCTGGTCCACTCTGTAGTACCTTAGCAAAATTACCATTACAAACATGTTTTATCCATTCACAATATTAAAAAAAAGAACTCATATTTCTGTACCTTACCAGAAAAAAAATTGTTCTGTCCCATTGTATGCAGGAGCATTATTTGCTGCTTTGAAAGAGTATGAAGCGTACCATTTTCTAGCAGTTTTCTCTGTTTCTTTTTACAGCGTTGTCTATGCTGTGCTCTTGCTGATGCTGCTAGGTTTTAATTTATCTATTGTCCTACTGGATAACATTAGTGATTCTGATTTCAGTTTTTCATTGTTTTTCTTTTGTTTTTTCCTCATGTAACATTGGTAAAGGATCTAGAAATATGACACAAGGGTGGAGTAAACGTTAATTTTGTGCATACTTTGGTAATATTTTTTTTTATACCTACAAAGCTTCGCCAAAAATTTATGGATTTTATTAAAATCAGTGATCCGTGTTTGGGGAGTTCCTAAACACAGTTGTGGATTATTAAAAAAGTAACCTCGTAATTACATTCCTCACTAGAATTAGTATGTCTGTTTTTGTATCTTTATGCAGAATTTTCATACTTTGCATTACTTAGGTTATTTTGCTTTGATTAAAATTTAAAATGGCTCAAGTAGAAAAGCAGTCCCATTCATATTAAGATAGTATACAAAACTCTGTATTTGTGTAAGTCTATCTCCGGGCTCTCTGTTTTGTACCTTTAATTTATATAGCTGTATTTTCATCGGGACCACTATGTCCTTTTTTGTTGTTGTTGTTCTTGTTACTGGGGATCGAACTCAGGACCTTGTGCTTGCGAGGCTGGCGACGGAACTGCTGAGCTAAATCCCCAGCCCCACTGTGTCTTGATTACTGTACTTTGGTCATTTTAAATTTTTTTGGCTACTCTCATTTCTTTTGCCTTTCCGTTTGCATTTTAGAATCAGCTTGTCAACATCTACAGAAAAGTTCACCTAATGTTTTGATTAATTTGTTAACTCTGTGGGTGTAAATGGGGAGAATTTCAGCTCTTCAAAACCATAAACATGGTGTATCTTTTTATATATTTAGATCATCTTTGGTTTCATTCATCTTTGTTTTGTAGATTTCCATGGACAGATAATGTTTATATTTTGTTAGATTTATAGCTATGCCTTTTGGAGGTTGTCATTTTATTCTTTTTCCTTCTTTTCTCTTTCCCTCCCTTCCTCTTCTCCTCCTTCTTACTTTTCCCTCCTCTTGTGCCACTAGGGCTTCTCACGCAGCGTTAAGCAGGAACGATAAGAGAATGTCCTTGCGTTGGTCTGAATTCGGCGCGAGTGTTGAATCTCATCTTTAGTCTTGACCATAGGTTTTTCATAGATGACTGTTATAGACGAATGAAGCTCCTTCTATTCCTCATGTACTGAAAGTTATTTAAAAATCATAGATGAACGTATTCCTTCCAACTTGAGCCACCAGCGGCACATACATGACTGTCCCATGGGCAGCACGGGACAATCCCATTGGGCAGTACAAACTACCCAAGGGGACGGTCACACATTTTTGGCCCCATTGCGGACGTGTTAACGTTCAGCCTTGTCATGTACCCTTCTGTCAATTATCATGTCGTTTTTCTTAGGTGGTGCGTTACCACGGTGACTCACAGTGGTTGATGTTTGAATGCAGAACCTGCCTTGCACTTAGAAAATGCAATTGGTTGTGATATGTTTTCTTTATTTCTTCTGGTGATGGTTTGGTAGTTTGTATTTGCCAAGTAATTATTTTGTCTACCTTGTCAGATGCATGGTCTGAGAGAGACTTACAGGATTCTCTTCAATGGCTGGAGGACTGGTAGAAGTGTCCCTCGTTCCTCCCATGTTCTCTGGTTCTTGGTTAGTCAGGCTGAGGACAATCAGTTGTTGAGATCTTTCCAGAGACACATTTTGGTTATGCTGTCTTTTCTGCTTTGGTTTAGGGGTTTTGCTTTGTTTTGTTTTGTTTTTCCCTGTTCTCAATTTCATTGGTTTCTGCTCTTACTCCTTTCAAAAGCTTCTTTCTTGCTGCTTGTTTTGGATGTGCCTTGCTTTCTTTTCTGGTCTCCTAAGTAGACCTGTAGATTCGCAATCTTTTCTAAATGAGCATCTTGGTATAAGTTTTCCATGAGGTGCTCCTTAAACCACTGTTTAAGCCTACAGTTTTTAGTATGTGTTTTCATTTTCATTTTTATTCTTTTGAAAATATCTTGCAACTTCTCTTGTACCTCCCCCTTATTAAATCCATGGATTACTTAGAAATGTATGGCTTCATTTCTAAATATTTGAGTACATTTCCAGATAACTTTCTTATTCTTGGTCTCTATTATTTAATTCTAGGTATTCAGGGAACATATTTTATAGATTTCAGCTTCTTACCGTATATTAGCATTTGTTTCATGGCTTAAACTGTGATGTGTCTTGGTAAATGTCCCATGTGTGCTTGCGGATTACATAGATTTTGCTCTTGGGTGTAGTGTTCCATGAATGTCACGGAGCCGTGTCTTGCGCTTTCACTCCGTGTGATAATCTGTCAGTGTCCAGTAGTGTTGAGGCTCCTGTGGCCCTGTTGACTTCTTGTCTCCTTGATTCATCAGACCCAGCAAGGGACATTGAAGCTTCTTACCGTAAATGGTTTGCCCATTGCTCCCTCAGGTCTTGCCTTCTCTTTTGATTCACACATATGTGTGTGTCCCGTTGACTTTCAACATGTCTATGTGTGTTTAAAGTTGGTTTCATGTAGATGGCAGAGACGGGCCTTGTTCTCTTGTCCTGTGTGATGGTGTCTATCTTCTCTGGTATGTTTAGAAGAACTCCCCTTTAGAGTGATGGATTAAAATCTACCATCTGGCTGGGTGTGGTGGTGCATGCCTGTAATCCCAGCACTCAGGAGGCTGAGGCAAGATCGCTGTGAGTTTGAGACCAGCCTGGGCTACATAGTGAGTTCCAGGTCAGTCTCAACTACAGAGTGAGACCCTGTCTCAAAACAAACAAACAAACAAAAAAAAACAACCTACCATCTTGCTAGTTATTTTTTATTTGTTCCTTTTCTTTGTTTCTTTTTCCCTGTTTTCCTGTCTTCTATTGGGGTGAGCGATTTTTAAAATTTTACTTTACCTTCTCTGTTACTATTTAGAACTATTTTTGAAACATTTTTGCTACTTTTCCCCAGGATTTAAACAATATACATTTCAGATTAATTTGAACCTACCTCCATGTAGTAGTAGAGCGGTACCTTATATACACTGCAAGGTTATTTTAATATACATTTCCAATTTCTCCATCTTTGTGCCATTTCTCATATGTTACACATTATGGGTACATATTCCACAAACAAGATTGGTCCTTATTATTTTTGCTGTAGACCAGGGTCAGACTGTGTGTTCTTCCTAGAAGGCCAGGTGACACCTTAGACACAGTAGGGGAAGCTTATCCCCCATGTCCTCCGTGCCTGCCCAAGATGGGTTATTATCTGCTATAAAAATAGACTATGGCGTGGAGTGTGGCAATCAGCCACACATTGTCCTACAGCAGTGATGGCAAACCTTTTAGAGCTTTCAGTGGTACAGACAGCCCGCTGCGGCACATATGCTATAGTTTGCCACCACTGGCCTACAACGTGTGTGCATTCCACCTGGTGGCATCCATGGAAAGCGCCTTCCTTCTTTTCCCCCTCCCTGCGTGGACGGTCCTGTCTGCGTCTCCTCCCTGGGCAAATGATCCTCTGCGACCACTCCCTGGATGGAGTGTGATCTCTGTGCATCACACCCATGTAATGTGGACATTCTGGGGATGTTGCAGTGCTCTTGGAGATGCGGTTGCTGGGAATGTCCTCAGGCGGTGCCTGGAGCCTGGGTGGCCATCACTTGCATGTTAGCAGCGGCCCTGCTCTCTGGCCCTGTGGTGCAGTGCCTTTGATGAGAGCCGAGGTAAAGACTGAGTGCCACCAGGGAAGCCCATTTACATGGTGCCACAGTCTTTTTTTTGTCTTTAATATTTTTAGATGAGATCTTATTAAATTGTCCAGCTGGCCTTAAATGCATGGTTCTCCCGCCTCACGGTCCCAGCAACTGGGATCATAGGAGCTCCAGGCCCGGTCCTACATGGCCACGTCCGGCCTGCTTGTGCAATGTGTGGAAGTAGACACAATACACACTAGACTTTCCGTGGCCCTCAGAGCTTTGAGAAGGTACTCAGAACTCTTCACTGTATAGCTTAGATGCCAACCCTCCCTTCCCCAGCCTGGCCCACTGCTGCCCATGGGATCTGTCCTACTCTCACCCTCTGCTTGTCTCTCTTCCAGTTGTGGCGTTCCTGGTTGCTTTCCATCAGAACAAACAGCTGATTGGTGAATGGGGCCTGCTGCCCTGCAAGGCGTACCTGAAGAGCATCCAGCAGTACTTCCATGGCAGGATTGGCTGGGATGCCTGGAGCTACGCCCCAACCATCCTCTGGCTGCTGGACTGGTCAGACATGAACTTCAACCTGGACCTCCTTGCTGTTCTTGGATTGGGCATCTCCTCCTTCATCTTGATAACTGGCTGTGCCAACATGATTCTCATGGCCATGCTGTGGGTCCTCTACCTATCCCTGGTCAGCGTGGGGCAGGTCTGGTATGTAGAGCTGGGGCCATTGCGGTCTGGCTGTCCCTCACCTCCATGTGGGTTCTGATCTCTTCAGGACACCATAGGGACTCAAGCAGCTGGAAGGCTGATCTAGCCTCCTTCTGAAGTTAACTCAGAGTAAGGTCACCGTGTCTTTAGGACATGATTGAGGCTGCTGGCTGCATTCAACCAAACGACAGGGGCCTTCTCCTTGGGGAGTAACACGTTGCTTCTGCTCGGAGATGTGTGTCTCCGCGTGAGGACGCATTGCCACTGCGTGAGCTGTGGGAGATGGAGGCAGAAGTCACGGGTGGGCTGCTGGGAGACAGAGGAAGGGGATGATTCTGAAATGTATCCTTCTGCTTCTGCCCCCTCCTCTGCTTGGGAGGACTGTACAACCAGTCCTAGGCATCTTGTTGGGGTCACAGATGGGACCTGGCCCTGGCCTCCAGGTTATGGAGTATGTAGGGCCACCAAGGTGGGAGAGTTCTGTGGACTACAGATGAATGTGTCGGGGAAGCATGTGCGTGTGGGATTGGTGTCCTGTGGACCTGTCGGATGTGGACAAGAAGTATCTATGTGGACATGTAGGGAGTGAACATGGTAGTTGGCACCCAAGTTGATATATGTGAAGTAGACATGGCGTCAGTGTTCCTATGGGTACGTGTGACGTGAGCCAGTGTCTGTGCAGACACATAGGAGATGGATGTGGGAGGTGGGTGTCTTGGTTGGTATCCAGGTAAACATGTTCAAAGATGTGGGGGCAGTGTCCCACCAGATACGTGAGCAGTGGACGTGAGGCATCTGTATAGAGATGTAGAATGTGAAGGACTCCTCTGGATATTCTGTTCAGGAGCTAAACGGGCTAGTTGGGGTGACCTGACTTTCTGTAGAGCTGACCTTGGGCACAGAAGTTCACAGAAGAGGCGTTGGCTTTGACGCAGGTAGCTGGGGCTGGGCTCTTGGAGCTGCCTTCCATTGGACACTACTGTGTCATCCTAGGAGCTCTGGGGGTGTAGCCTCTCCCCTCAGCACAGACATTTCCGGCCTCTATACTTCTGCAGTGGCTGAGACCTAGGGTTCCATGCTAGTGAAATGGTTTGTGCCAAGAATGGGACGGTGTGCCTGGCTTGGATGAGGGCAGTGATAAACAGCGTCTGAGTAGAGGATTGAGGGAGGCTATACTCACACCCAGGCAGCATGTGCTCAGTCTCCCAAGGAGCAGGCTCAGTGCCCTGGCACCCTGCATCCTCTCCACTGCCCCCCCGGGGCCTGTGTGTCGGTGTGTGCCACTGCCTCACTGCAGATCTTTCAGGGAGTAGGGGACGTTTTTTGCATGTCTGGTCATGGCAGGAGCCATGCAGAATGGAATCATGCTGTATGTTCCAGGACGAGCCAAGGGACTTCATGTGGATACTCCCCCAGCCACTGTGTCTGTATGAGACTGCTTGTAGGTGTTGAGCAGCCAGGAATATGTCATTATGGGGCATACACCGTGACATTCAGCTGCATGTGGAAACTGCTGTGTCCAAGGGAGCAGTGAAGTTGGCATTTCAGTGTGAATGAGGAGGTGGGAGAAGTTCTTGCCAGGCCCCCTGGCTGACACATGGGCAGATGGCCACCCTAGGTGGACATTGTGCCAAGCACTGTGAGTTTAGGGACACTTGCCACACCCTTTCTTTCTCTGAATGAGGCTTAGGGCTGCTGCCTCTTTGGTGACTGACCGTACCCATCTCCCAGGGCGGGGGTCACTGATGACCTGATATGGAGAATCTGGCTGCGTTTTTTTTCTGTGACGTCCTGGAGACTGCTGTTTCTGAGGCATATTGTGATTTTAATACAGACCACTGGAGGGAGACTTTCTAGGGCTGCTGCCCAGCCGTGGCAGCAGAAGGTAGAGAGATCAGAACCCCCACTGGGGGCACACAGCAGTGACCACCCATCCCAAGATAAGTCTTGGGCACATAGTGTTGCTCCTTAGAAAGATCTTGTCCCAAAATAAAAAAATAAATAAAGGAGTTGGGGTGTAGCTTAGTGCAAAAGCCCTCAGTTCAAACCATAGTACAATAAATAAATCAGTTTTAAAGAAGACTCTTTTGGGACCAGCCCCCCTAAAATGATGCACCTGTACAGAGTATCGGAAACCTAATTATATAACTTCTGCTCTGGTCTTTTCAGAGACATTGACTTTTCCAGAAGGTTGAGTTTCCGGTTCTTTTATCTGTACTCTGTTTGGTTCCAGCTCAAGGGGTTTTGGGGTCACATGGAAGATGGTGCCCACCATCCCTTTTCCCCCCATCTTCCTACCCCTTTGAGAAATAATAAATTATGTCTGAAATTTGGACCATGCCAGTATCTCAGGATTCCCCTTCTACCTTGTCACTTTCTTTCAGGCTGGCCAGCACAGCTGCTCTTTTTTTTGTACCGGGGATTGAACTCGGGTCTTTGTGCTTGCAGGGCAGGCGGCAGAACCACCGAGCTAGATCCTCGGCCCAGCACAGCTGCTCTTACAAGCGAAGGGCAGCATAGTGAGTGTCCTCCGTGTGATGTTCAGGGTTGGCTTCTGAGACTGAGCACCTGGAGGAGCTGGCAGTGTCTCTGAGGCTGTCTGTGAGGCAGCTCCACCTCAGGAAAACTGTGAGCCCGCCGGGCAGCACTCTGTCTCTCATAACTGGTGGCTGTCGCTCCCCCTGAGCCATTCATGGACACTGAAGGGGCCAGCTGCACCCTGCTGTGCACGGCCAACTCCAGTCTGGTGGGATCTAGTTTCCTTTTCAACAAAAATGGGCCTACAATTCACATGCTGTTTTGCTCCCTGTATACTGACTTCATTCTTAAATAATTTTATTATATAATCTTTTATAATAATATGTGAAATAACTAAATTTTTTCTTCTTGCTTCACATCCAATCACTAATATGTTTGTATTGAGCAGGTATAGACCAGCATTGCTCAGGCTATGCCCAACCCCAAGGGTTTGCACCTTAGAAAGTGATAGTTTGAGTGACTCCATTGTGAGTGCAAGTGCCAGGAGAGAATGACTTTGCACCTCATTTATAGGAGTAAACAGTTACTGTTTGGCCAGCACAGCCACAAGGCACAAACTGATATGTAACTTATTTGTGCCGATAAAAATTAACTTATTGCATCAAAACCAGCAGCACATAGATCCATGGGCCTATGAGATCCTATGAGAAACACGACGCGTGAGCTTATCCACCGCACCAGTTGTATCCCCTCTCACCTGAAATACAAAAACTAGGGCACCTCAGCCGACAGATGGGACACGACACCGACCCTGACACCTGGTCACTCACTGTGAGCCTCGCTCAGGAAAATTGCCACAGCAAAGCCCTTCCTTCTGTTTCTGGAGGAGGCACTTTTCTCTCCAGCCCGTGGTGCATAGCTCACTTCACACTGACGCTGAAACTGCCTTGGTCCCATTCTGCCTGCCAGCTCTGTGCCTTGGGTTGTTGTCCTCTCATTGGCCACCTGCAAGGGGCTCTTGCATCTGTGGCTCTCTGCCCTTGCTCTCGGTGTAACCTTTTAAAATCCTGTGGCCTCTTTGAACCGTTTCTTAGCTTTCTGTAACCTGTATACCATTGTGTGAAGTATAACGTGGGAATTGGGTGCCCATGGATATTAATAATTAAGATCAGAATTGAGTAAAAGGGCTGTGATTGCCATGGTCACGGCCACTGAGTGAACGTAACAGTACCTGGTGCATTTTAGCCAGTGAAATCCCTATAGCTTGTGAACTTATTGTTAGTGAATTCTGAATTTCAGAAAGATGAAAATGTGTCTGGCCTGTGTCAACGGTACAGCTTATTCGCGGCATCTTCCTGCGTCACCAGGCGCTGCCCTAGCAGCTCTTGGTACAAACTAGAATGTGGAGACAGCTGTGAGTTGCAGGAGCCGTTACAGTGTGCTGCTGAGAAGCAGGCGTGGCCGGCACCTATGTTTTCTGTAACACTCGTGCCCCTCCCTTCAGGGACTCACGCCTGGCCATCTTTGCTTTTGATACTCAGGGTGTACAGTGGTAATAATGTTCAGTGTGTTGACTGGGTTAACGAATCCTTACCATCAGTCCCCGCCATCGGTTCCCAACCATTGTTCTTCTCAGTGTGGTTTCTGGCTGCTCACTTCTGTCAGCGGCTTAGTGGTTCCTTCATCTTTTGCGAGTTCTGATTTGTGGCATGGCCGCCAAGTCCCAGCAGCAGAGTGGTCAGGTGGGGAGGGCGTCATGAAGGGCATTGCCAGGCACAAATGTGTCCATTAGGACAGGCAGCTGCCAAGGGCCCCTCCCGTGCCACCACTTTCTGCTCCCTCAATACAAGGATCCCTAGTGAGTTGTCAGTTTGGTACAGCAGAGCTGACTGAGCAGATACCAGAGCAGCACAGCATGGGAGACCAAGGAATGCCTAGAACCTTTTGTTTGCTTTGTTTTGGTGTGTTTGGGGGGGTGACAAGTGATTGAACCCAGGTTCATACTGAGCTGCATCCCCAGCCCTTTTGTTTTTTTAGTTGGAACTGGGTCTTGCCAAGTTGCCCAGGCTGGGCTCAAACTTAGATTCTCCTGTCTCCACTTCCCAGTGTGGAGTAGCATGCAGCCAGGAGCATCCTATCTGCTTCCAGCTTTTCTTTCTTTCTTTCTTTTTTTTCTTTCTTTTTTTTTTTTGGTACCGGAGATTGAACTCCGGTCCTTGCACTTGCAAGGCAGGCCACCGAACCGCTGAGCTAAATCCCCGGCCCTCCAACTTTTCTTTTTTGAAGTAAAAAGGAAATCTCAGATAGTGTGTTACTTTACACAATGTCATTCCTTTTGCAGTCACATGGCCAGTGCGGCATTTACTCCAGAAGCCAAGGGCGGATATTATGACAATGGACTTGTTCATGATTTAGGTCCTGCACATGTGCTGGCTGCTTATTGGGTCTTCAGTCTCTAAGGGTGGGACAGGAATCACTGTATAGAAACCTATGATATGACACCTCCTTGTTCCACCATGATTCCACGGTGAAGACACAGACCCTTCTCCAACCATTAGCAATGCAGATGGAGCCCACCAGATTTCTTCCACTTTAGTCCCTTTCCCATTGACTTGTGTTTGGAGTAACGGATGTCCTTTAAACTTTCATGTTCCAGGAAATAATATTTCCTGTTGTGGTGTAAGTCATTTTTTCTCCAGAAACACTAAGTATAGTGTCTGCTCATCCCACAGCCCCTTTGACCACCTGTGAACCAGTCCCTCCCCAGCTCAGTAAGGTGGGGGCTCCGCCCTCAGGACCTGGCAGGCCAGTCCTCGCATCTGTGCTTAACTCCACACTATCCTGGGCTCAAAGGGTGGGCTCTGCTTAGTGGGGAAACCTTTTGGTTTAACTTATAAGTCTTTGGTCAAAGCAAATCGAAATTTTAATATATATTTCTTCTTTTTTTTTCAGGTATTCTTTTGGTAAGTGAAAATCATTTAGGAAAAACTCTGCAAGAATTTGCATTATATATTGGGGTATGTATCTACACATTTTTTTCTGCCTTTTCTCATTGCTTTAGTGCCTGCCCTTGCATTTCCAAGTGTTCTAGGCAGCTCTGGAGCAGTATTTGTTGACTGACCTAACATGCAGGTCCTAGCAGGCAGGCTGATGAGTTTGGAGAACTTGTGTGTTTTGGGGTAGGTTCTTAGACACCTTGACAGCTCCCTTGTATGAAGATGGGGACACCTGGGGCAAGGACTGGCCTTCCCTGGGGTGAACTACAAGGTTCATCGAGAACTTAGGACCTCAATGGACTCAAGCTGCATGTGCACACCAAGTGGAGGAAGATGGTACTAGCACTGGTTTGGGTGTGGTTAAAGGGTGGTTTTGGGTCTTTTCCCAGCCCACACTGAGCAGAAGTCATTAGAGAGGGGCAGAGGGCAGCACCCCATGGACAAGGCAAGTGAGACCATGAATGTTTTCCTGTGGGACTTGTAGTGGGTTTGTAAGTTCACCCTGCTATAGGAGCCTTGGGCAGAGGCCGCAAACCCTGGCCTTCCAGGGAGAATGGAGAGAGGTTTTTGTGGCGTATTTTGATTCTGGCCTCTTGTCCAGTGTTTTGAGCCCACGTCAGCCTCCCCATACTGTGCTGCAGTCATGAGGTGTGCTGACTAGGCTGTGCCTGCCTGCCCCACTGGTCTTGGGCTTGAAACCTAGGAGTCAGAGGCCACCTTCCTTGTGCTTTACGCCTTAAATGCTGATGCTGATTGTCTCAGCGGTGTTGCAAATGTAGGTCACCTCACAGACATGAAGACCATCTGTTAAAGGAGGAAGGATGCAGTTTTCCTGATTTTTTGCTCTGTGTGTTGGCACACAGCTGTAATCCCAGCACTCTGGGAGGCTGAGGCAGGAGCACAAATTCAAACCCAATCTGAGCAGTTTAGACTTATGGCCAAAAAAACAGCAAGAGATGTAACTCAGTGTGAAGGCCCTGGGTTTAGTCTCTGGGTTCAGGCCCCAATACTGAAAAAATTTTTCTTTTCCCTGATTTTCAGTCACCTGAGAAGGCAGGTAACCAGAAACAGTCAGGTTACTGTGGGCCAGTGATACTAAGATTGCCTGGCGCTGAGCATGCTTGCACGGCCACCCTCATCATGCATGCGGCGGCTCCAGATGTTCACATCTATCCTTGTTATTTGATACCAGAAAAAGTCCCGCATTCTCCAGTATTTAGATTAACAACTCTTCTCTTCTCAGTAAAATCTACTTACTTCTTTTATTTGTCTGAAATCTTAGCAGTAGGATTTTTTCCTCCAGCTGTCACGAAGAACAGAATCTCAAGGCTTTGTGTCGTTAGGTAGGGATTTCTGCTACTTGGTGCAGAGAATTCTGGGAAGTTACCAAACAGTTTTCAGAGCAAACCCGGTACACCCTGCCAGCACCATTAGGCTGTGGGCATGCAGATGGGGCAGGCTCAACTCCTGTACACCACACCCCCAGTGCTCCACACGTTCTCCTCAGGCCTCTGAGTGCAGGCAGTTGTCCCTGCCTCGGGATCTAGAGAAATGGAGGACCAAGAGTACAGAGGAGCAAGAGTGGGACACGGGGCCTTGCACCCAGGTTTTCAGGTAGGAAATACTCTCTTACTGAGCTACAGTGCTTCTGCTGAAACAGGAGTTTTCGCACAGAGGAAGGGCATCTGGTGGAGTGCGCTCCTGAGGGGTAGGGCCTCCCACGCCGTCCCTCTTGTTCTGCCCCACTCATGTGTGCTCAGGCTTGGCCACAGCTGCGGGCCTCACAGGGCTTTGCTGGCTGCTTCCTCCCCAGAGCTGCTAAGAGGAGTCGGGTGAGGCTGTCACAGGGCTCCACTCCAGAAGGGCTCTGCCCTGTGGTGCTGCTGTCGGTGTGTCCTGTGTCCATCCCACATCGTCACTGCCCCTTTGGTGGTAGGTTGTAACTTTGGGGACTCAAGTGAACTGTGAACTCGCGAGCACATTTCCCCGAGTGCCCTGAGGAGGAAGAGCTCCGTGCTGTCCTGTACAGTGCTCACAGTGCCCCAACGTGTGTGTCCCCACGGCCCTCCCACCTTCAGAGTGGCCTCAGCCTTTGCACTGCCTTCTCCTGCACCACCCTGAAGAATGAGGATCCAGTTACAGAGGAGGGAGGAGGGTGGGTGAGCAGTGTTGAGGCCTTTCCAGAGGCTCCTTTCCTTAGCCTTGCTGGAGTTGCCTACGGGGAGCTAAAGTTTTCACAGTGAGCATCTTGTCTCATCCCAGCTGTATTTATTTTTTGATGCTCATCTTAAGTTGGCGTAATCTTTCTTTTGCAAAGTGACTTTGAGGAGCTAGAGCAGCTCCACAGAACTAGCTGGGGCTGAGATGAAGGTGGTGCGACTTCCTCAGGGCTGTACCCCTCAGCAGCTGGTGGCTTGAAATGAGCCTCATGCTTCATGACACAGCTGCTGCCCACATATATTTTCAAAATCAATAAGAATTAAAGGCAATGAAACTTCTGTCCCTCGGGGTACCAGCCACCCTTGGAATGCCCAGTTGCTGTGCAGGGTGCTGATCGTGGCCCTGCCTGACCTGTAGTATACAGGAACACTCAGAGGATTCCTTCCTTGCACAGGATTGCAGGCACCACTGATCTCATAAGACACAAGATAAGCCAAGCCACTGAGGCGTGGGCATGGGCACTTGGGCACTTCCTGTGCATTGCCTTGCAATGGTTAGGGAGTTCTAGCCCAGGAGCCTAGATAGCAGCATCTGTTGTTAATGTCTTCCTTTGTCACAGAAGGACCGCATTTCCCCAGAAAACTCAAGTTTCTATTAGTATTTTTGATTGTCTTTAAGGCCCCTTCAAAAGTTGCAGTATCAAGATCTGACCTTTCACCTCCCACTGTCCCCACTCTGCGTCCTGGGTCCCACTCTCCCGCTTGTACACAGATACGATGCCAAGTGAGCTGAAAGTGAGTGGGGCTGTTCTCCAGCATGCAACACCTGCTCCCCCCACCCCCAGTCTGCCGCCGCCCTCCTGCCCCATCTCTGCCAAGGCCTTAGGCATGAGAGCTATGAGGCCACGGCTGCCTTTACTGACACCCACTTCGAGACAGCCCAGGCGGTGCTAACTGCTACCTGCCCCTGAAGGAATACACTTCCTGAGCTCTTGAGCTCAGCCTAGCATCCTTCAGAGCTCCTGCTGTCCTTGCAGCTGATGACACAGGGTCCCACTGGGCCACACAGTGGGACTTTTGGCTTCTAGGATGGGGTCAAGGGCTCCACAACCACATGCACCATCCTCAGCATGACTGCTATCCCCAAGTACAGCCACTGGCCTCCAGCATGGCTACTGTCCCCCAATATGGCCACTGTCCTCTTAAGTCCTTGGCATGGCCATTGTCCCCAATCATGGCTGCTCTCCCCCAGGTACGGCTGCTGTCCTCTCACATGGCCACTGTCCCTGAACGTGGTTTCTGTCCCTGGCATCGCTGCTGTCCCCCACTGGGCTCTGTGAGGGAGAAGACATGGAGGGCTCTGTGTATAGAGTGGCAAGGTTTGCATATGCAGATGGCTACAGTTCCTGGGGGCCAAGTCCTGACCTGTCCCGAGGCTCCTGCTGGGTCCTCTTCCTAGGCTTGTAACCTGGGAATCATGGAGAGAGATTCCGAAGCCCTGTGATCTGGGTACATTCCTTTATAGGAAAAGTGTGTTCCATAAGGCCTGGAAGGAATTCAGGTTTCCTTTGTTTAGTACAAAGTTCCTTTGATGGATGACTTGTTGATCTTCTTCTGACGAAGGCAGGGACAGCCAGCACAGATACCTGCAGATGCAGCAACAGGTACAGAAAGAGGCAGGGAGCATCTTCTATGGTTAGTTGTAAACATAGTGGTGTCCAGGGAGAGCTGTGCCTTGATGAGTGGGAGGAGTGAATCTTAGCACTTAGAATGAGCAGGTGATGGTGGCCACGAGCCAGTTGGGCTGGATGGGTGCTCCATCCATTTGGTACCTGCCACGGAACTGATTTGTTGTGGGCAGGTAGGGGTGAAGGCCTGGGCTTCTCTGCAGGGACTTGTGCCGAGGGGTTTTATCTGTTTGTTGCTGAATTTGGGGTTTTCTCAAGTAGACCTGACTACTTGGAAAGTAGAGGCTTGGGGGCTCCATTCTTGCTGTGTGCCCTCCCTGCCATTACTTAGTTTGTTTTCGGGCTGTTGCTTGTGGGGTGCTGATGTGGCTTGGACACTTGAATTGGGTTTTTCCCATCACAGCAGCACCTCCTGCCAGCCATTGTGAATTAAATTCTTTGTGTGACAGTTTACACCAGCCGCTCTTAAATTCATGCTTTCAAAACAGCTTAATGAGGAGTATACTGGCCAATTGGAGGTTTTTATTAAGACCTGTAAGTGCTGGAGCAGAGCCTGCCTGCAGGAAGCGATTAGCACGGCTGCCTGGCCACAGCAGGTTCTGCCCAAGAATTCACAGAGCACACGGCCTGACCCTGCACTCTGCACAGCTCTCCTGCCCTCTGCTTCACTTTACAGTCTAAGTCTCCCCGGTCCAGTGTTCAGGGAGCAGTGTCTTTTAATTAAATTATTCCCATAATCAGAGGCAGTCTCTGCTGCCAGCTTGCCTCGCTGCAGGCTGCTGCCAGTGGGCCAACCCCATACCTCCTTCCTTCTGCTGCTCCTCTGATTTAACTACCTGGCATGTGCTACAGAGGAGAGCCCAGGTCCCAGAAATGTCAACTGAAACCAGCAAGAGCCTTCACTGCCTGCCACCTAGGAATGGGTGATGCCTGGTGTCCTGTCCCTTATGGGAAGCACAGAGAAGCCTGGCTTAGCAGTGTCAGAGCTGCTATGACCGGCTGGCCTCACTGCAGATGTGCTCAGCCACCATTCCAGAGTAGCTCAGGGTCACACTTATTGGACCCAGATAGAGACATTTGTGTATTTCCTCCGTTCTTTTTTTTTTTAATGCTTAGTGAT